CAGAAACAGATAAGGAGGTTAGTCAGGGGTCAGGGGAGGGGTCAGGGGTCAGGGGTCAAGGGGGTCGAAGAAGGCGGTGAGCCACGGGTTTTGGTACGGACATCTGTACTCTTAATCAGGTTGGAGCTAGTTCCCTCATTGGACGTTGCACATCAAGCAGTTGCACCGAATCCAGACACAATGCCGACAACTAGAGCAGCCGAAAAGACTGCTGCCGCTAAAGGCGGCGACGAGAAAGGCCAAAGCAAAGGTGCTGGCTCGAAACATGAAATTCAAGAGAAGACCGCACCAGACTCAAAGCGTCCAAAGAAGGATGACGATAAAACCCAGAGGACCATTGAAGATACCATGCCGAGGTTTGTTAGCCTCTATTCTAATAAAGGTATTTATATATGCTTACACGTCAAGTCCTACTGAGGCATATGGCAACGGACACGCAACCTCAAAATCAAAGGAGGAGCCAAAGCCCAAAGACGAAGAGAATGACGCTCAGGGTCATGACCAAAAGACTGGTACTGCCGATGAACCTGGTGCACGTGAGGGAGAAGTTCCATCTAGCATTCTTGAAAAAGGAATCATATACTTCTTCTTCCGCGGTCGCGTGGGGATTGACGATCCCAGCGACGTAAACGACATCCAACGAAGCTACATGATCCTTCGTCCTCTCGATAAAGATGCTAAACTTGGCGAGGGTACTATCAAGGATGCTGGCAATGCTCGACTCATCGCGGTGCCGAAGAAGGTATTTCCGCGAAGTGGCAGAGACCGATGGCTTGCCTTCGTAGAGAAGTCTGACGCCTCCTTGAAAACAATCAAAGACGAGTTCCTCTCCTCTTCCGATTACGAGACGAAGACAATGGGTACTCGACATACCCCTGCCGCCACTCCGGCCGCTGAAGGCATTTATGCTATTACCACAACAGGCAGAGAGAGTCACCTAGTCTACATGATCACCTTGCCATCCGAGCTCGGCGAAGTCCAGACCGAGTTGGGTTTACGAGAAAAAGGAAGCTTTATTCTCAGTACTAGGAACCCAAAATATGATGCCCCACGCAATGTCGCACTCCCACAGAGCGCTGATTATCCCAAAGAGTAAGTCAAAATCGCAACCCAATATATTCTAATCAAAATGCGCTAATATTATGTATCTCAGTGTTCAAGATGAGTTTCGATCGCTCCGATGGATGCCGTCACAGCCACATCACCTCGATTACGTGAATACGCAGTTTCTGCTAGTTGGCGAATCAAGCGGCATCGCAAATGCTACAGAACCTCAGAAAGAGGACGAAGGAAAAGAGAATCCAGAAGAAGAACTGGAGAAATTGGAAGATGAGGATACACACAGAATGGAAACACTGAAAGACGATGATTCTGGGGCCATCTTCGCCGACTTGGGCGCCCTTGCAACGGACTACCCAAAATTAGAAACAACATTTTAATAAATAGTTGGAACGATGTAAATGATCCTAGTTTTGGACACGCTGGACTCTTCAGGTCGGCGATGTAATTGTATGTATTATGCTAGAGCATGAGCTCTTAATTAAATGATCAACTACCTTTGAAACAACCTCACATGACATAAACCATCCGCACCCGCTCTACCCATTTCAAGCGACAGGTTGAACGCTGATTCATCCAATGTAATCCAGTCTAAGGCTCAATTTCACAACATTGTTGTTCGTGTAATTTCAGGTGAAGAGCGATGAAGTCACAAGTCGACTTTACTTCTTTACCAAGGTCACCTCTGGCCATTGGTTAAGCCCCTTACCATCTAACAACTCGCCCCCCTTTCCCTTTAGAAATCGATCGAATAGAGCACCCAAGAACGCCCTCTCGATAGCAAGTATCCTAGCCCCTTTAATACTGCCCAGTCCCTGTGCATAGTCACCAAGAGCCCCGCTTGGCAGCAGGTCTCGGAATACGGGGAGGTCAGTGTAGCCGCCATGAAGTGTTCCATTAACACTGTACTCGCGCTTGAACCCTCGAAGATTCTTCCAAGCTTCAGCCCAAGTGTCGTCATTTTCGTCGGTGTGATTTTGCGCGCCATCGTGATTGCCGAAGAACACGAATGGCGAATCCGTGCCCTTCTGAACAACGTCGCCGTAGACCGAGCCGTCGAGGTTAGCGCCGACATAGAAGCGCGGATCGTCTTTCAATAGCTGAAGCGATGTTGCGCCTCCGAAAGAGTGGCCGAAAACGCCCACCTTGCTCGTCGTAAACTTCGTCTTAGGATAGTTATAGGAACTCGTCTTTGCCGATCTCGAGGTCTCCAGGCCGGGAATACGAGACGTGACCGAGGAGTTTGATAGCGAGTCTAGGACGAATCTCATGTCCTTTACTCGAACGTCAAGGTACTGTTCGAGTGTTGCATTGGCCTCGTTGGGAGAATCGTCTGAGGATACCGACCGCCCGTCAGGGTATTCAACAATGAAGCTCTCGTACGGGTGATCGACAGTGACCACGTTCCAGCCGTAACTGGCAAGCTCTTCCGCTATGTCAGAATGGAAAAGGCGAGGATTACCAAGGCCAGGGCTGAAGAGCACCAAAGGCAAGTCAGGCCGAGAGAGGGGACTGCCTGCACAGGCACGAGTGGTGAAAGCTTCCGCAATTCCAGTAGCGTTGACCAAAGCATCAATCGTAGCTGCGGTCACAGGGGGAAACTGCGGTGCAAGCGTGCAGTTTTTCAAGTGTTTCGACGTGGGATAGAATAGAGAGATAACAAGATCCCGCGGCTGAGGAGTTGGTGCGAACGGATCTTGTCTGGACGAATCTACCAGCTCAAGGACAGTGGTGCCGACTTTGTGCGGGCCAGTGAGCTCAGGAACAAGAAGGTTTGCTCCAGCCCCCAGGCCAAGGCCGAGAGAAATCAAGACTGATTGAAGCATGTTGAGATACGGCGCCGGGAAGATTTGACTTGTTGTTATCAGTTCTTGACTGAGTATGTAAAGCAGTTGATTAATTAACATTCTTTGTATAAGACGATCAACAGTCCCTTTTATAAATGAGTATTTGCTTGAGGCTGTTCGTCTCACTGCCCCAGGACTGGACAACCTGTAACGGCACCGACTGTACGAGAGAGCTCAACGCGTGTACTGAGGCTCAGAATACCGGAGCTCCAACACTTGGATCTTGACTAACGGCGCGGCTGGATGCACTTCTTCGAGCACGACAGTGACTGCTAAGCCTGCGCAGCGACCGGATTTCGTCATTTCTCATTCAGCTCAACTCCGCCACCGCCATTAACCCACCAGCCTTCCGGTTGACGGCGGATCTTGGCACCGGATTAGGTATTGAATGTTATCAGATTGCTACATACTGCATGTTCCTCTCTCCTGGGATGCCGAGTCCGGCTACTACGGCTAGTTCAACTAGCCCAGGCAGCAACTTAAAATCTGAAACCGTTGTTTTCTCCAACAGCGTGACTAAAGATTTCATGATTTAGTGCTCTAAAGGCCCGACAATGTCTCAGCTGTAATGCAGTGTTTCTCTTATTGATCTTAGTCACCTTTGCATTGAGGTAGCATACGCGTCCAATATCTAGATGTGGTTTGGATTTGACATTAGCTAAATGCCCGACATCATTTGGGACGACTTCACAATATCAGCCCCAGGGCCTCGGATGGCTGCCTAACACGTGGGTAACAACTAATTCTACGAGTAGTCGGCTCTCTCGTTAAACTCTGGCCCCTGAATGACGCTAATCTTTGAACCTCCCAGAGTTGGATACTACTCAATTGGGATGCCAAGACGCTTAACCACGAATCACATCATGACAACGGCTTCTCGCAGAGCGAACTTAACCATTTGGAATCAGTAACAAGAGTCGCAGTAGCAAACAAGCCACGGAGACTTACGGTAGCCTTTGAATGTTGAGTAAACATGACTTGGAAGCGGTCAGATGAAGATGTCGATGGCATCCGATTCCAAATATAATCTAATTTTATGGAATGAGCACGTACTCTTAACGGCGCACATTGTTATTGTCAGGCTTATATCAAACATTGATTCCCTTAGTTCCGTTCTCTACCGCCTAGTCGACAGTACCAAGACCATTCCTGTTCAGGTTACCGATAAAGAATATGCCTTCGGTTCGAGAGTGCCGTCATCGGAGTGTAAGAAGTAGGTCGTCAAGTAGTCGTCCTAGATCACAAGTGGGCAGCGGGAACGTGTTGGGCAGTGAAGTATTATAGAACGTTAGCATGACGGAACCTTGGTCCCGACCAATCGCGATTCCCTCTGCGCAAACCAGTAGGATAGCATGTGTGATTCCCATTGAAGAGTGAAGCTACAGACTCTGTCCTCTAGATTCCTATAGAGACTACATATTGCACCAGATCGAGGAAATCAGAACGATTGAAAAAGACCTGGGGTCTCCACTTGCCGTCTTTACTTAATTATCACCCCTCAATTCATAGTACACTGGTGTCACGAATCCTGTGCTTGTAGTGTGTAGAGACACTTGTTGTTGGGCAAAAGACTGCAGAACAACTTCGTGAACGCTACCCTACTATATACAGGAGTGTCTTTGTCTATGCAGCTAATGCCTTATCCATCTACCCATCCTTCTTGTCCATAAGCTTGTATGCCCTGTAATAATTGGTGCTCTTGAGAACACATTCTCGGACGATTAGGTTAACTCTGCGAACTCTAACTACAGCGAGCCATGCACCTACGGATAAACTAGAGCCGCCTTAACTTGATGAGCGTAATGATCTGACTGAGCTTGGAAGCAAATAGCTTTTATTCAGGTTATGGCTCCCTGTAGATAGCTTCAAAACGGTCACATGTTTCGGCTACCAATAGAAATCTGATACCAAACAAGCCACTCGTCCGCTAAGAGATGCTGCTTAAAACTGTACATGTTTTAGGCGTTATAAACATTCTGTAAATAAAAAGTGATAAAATAAACATACTTGGTCAATCCTATCTACTCGTTAGCCATAACTCTAGTAGGGCCTAGATGATCCATTTTGTTAATGATTTCTGGAAAAAGATTGCAAAACCCAACGCGGGACTCGAACCCGCAATCTTAAGATTAGAAGTCTTACGCGTTAGCCATTACGCCAGTCGGGCTTGCGTTCCGGATGTAACCATTGGTTCGCTTTAGATGTTAAGATTGTTCTTGTTCAGCTAGAAGACGTGCTGCGGCAGGAAGTCTACTGAGGGCTTGAGTCAGGTATAGCGCAGTTATCAGAAACAAGCGTTCATTCCGAGCGGTATAATAGAAGGGGAGTCTGAAAGGAATTGGGAATAAGCAGTGTGAGTGGACAGCACATGTCTGGTCTCTTGAGAGATGAGAGAAGAACACGGCAATAACTGTTGCTTAGGAATTGTCAATACTTTTAACAATGCAACTAGAGAGATAAACAGAGACTACCTAATCGTTGCTGCATAACGAGGCATTAATACCTAGCTGTAGCTATGCATACCTTTTCTTTGTTCCATGCAAATGATGTCATAAAAAGATGAAGAAATGTGGGATTAATAGTTAATCTAGGTCATGGTGTCACCTCCGCGAAGAACTCCAGTTCAAGACTCAGGGGACATGGAAGAATCTATTTTCTGATCCCTTAATCCCAACTCAGGGGCTTTGTATCTAATAATTCCCATTTATTGCAAAAAGAATATATCGGAGCTTGGATAAAGAATGACGTGGAATAGCATCCGGCAGCGCGAAAGTCGGTGATTCAAACGGTTTACCAGCTGGCTCTGGTATCTCTCTGGTATTTAGCGAATCGAAGGCAGGCGACGAACATTACATGATGAGTTGGCTATCATGTAGATAAGTGTAGATGAGGGAAAGCAATCGTCAATCTGGCGAATACATTGTTATTGTTCATACTCTAGATGCTCTAGTAACTTTGAAACTGAGGGGGAGCTAGCAAGAGGACTAGACATTGCACAGCGAAGACAGTCTATCGCTGAAAACTACAAGTCGTGCTTGATAATTGTTATAAATGTCTAGTGTCTAGTTGTATAGATCTAAAAATTGTTTACATTGTGTCAAGATATTTAATTTACTTCCAGTCAAGTTGATGTTGTGACAGATATTGATTCAGCAAGTCTAGAATTCATTTGATACAGTAATGAAGAAGGAGGCGATATAGTCGTGTTGAAAAAATGTATCTGCTTATTACATAACCAACTCCCATAGATAGTAGTTATTTCATACAAGGCCAATAGCCTTGACGCCTGGGCATGTACGTTTGACCTTGATTGATACAGTAAATGATGGAGAGATGAAGCAAACTACATCGATAGGCAAAGAGATAAAAGCACGCACGTTGGTCAAAACGGAATTCTCTTTCGACATATTAGATATGGCTGGTACGCAGAGGTCAAGGAGGTTATGATGATATTCGGGGATATAATTATTGTCTTATTAGTCTATGTCTATAATCATGGATATACTTCTTCTAACGGTGAAGGCCAAGCCATTCCCGTCAGATGCCTGAGCCCTAACGCCTTTTCGGATGCTAATGTATCATGAGGTAATAAGGACAATCACATAAGCAACCAGAACAATGCTAGTGCCGCTACGGGATACCTTATGTAAGCTCCTGAACCGTCAAGTATTGTTATACCTCCGTTGACCGGAACACCGCAGCATGGTCGGTTATAAGTAACATTGTTCATCCGGGCAGCGACTTCGAAAACCGAGCCGGGGAAGCCTCCGTAGTTGTAATAGTCGACATTGAGAAAGTTCGGTGCGCGGTCCCATTGCGCGAGACAGTTATCAGCTGCAAGCCCAAGACTTCCAGCTCCAGTGGCGTTATTCGTGACATTGAGCTCGGTTCGAGCCGGGACAAGCAAATCCGTGCCCAGGGCGGACAGTTGAATATTGAGGTTGTGGTTAATGAGGCTGAGTCGGTTTTTGGCATCGGGCACAGCTAGATTAGGTGGTCTTTGCACGTCGCAGGGGAAGCTGTTGTCCACTGGATCGAAAGGCGTTTCCCACACCTGCGAAAATTCGTCGAGAAGCCATGGATATTCCGTCTGATTGGCCATATAGTCCATGAACATAACGACTCTTTGACCACCCAAGATCATTTCGGTTAGAGTGGGCCAACTAGTAAGGTTCATCGGGACGTATGGAGGTGTATAAACATATTTAGTAATCCCGGATTGCTCGATGTATGGAACGTAAAGTGAGGGAACCGAGCTGATACCAATTAGATGATACTGCCTGCACCTATGGCATAAAAACATTTGACTTACTAGTTTCCATTGCCCAGTAAAATAGTGACCACATCAAAGGGATGTTGGGCTACCCAGTTCCTGACGTCTGTCAGCCAGTCGGTTATTGGACCGGCATCTAGAATATCACAACTTGTGTGACAAAAGTGCGGCTGCGTCGCATTGCTGGGCCATTGGATTTGAGCCTGCAGAAAGCGTATACCGTCGTCCAACTGCTGCGTAACATCGTACTGTTGATTCGCAGCAATGTTATTCGGCGTGATGAATGGAGAGTTGTGACAAGCCACCTCGGTGATATTGCTGTATTTTCGGGTACAGAACTCTACATAGTTATTGCAAGCTTGCGTGTTGGTCGGCGCGGGTGCGGGAGTGACTGTTGTTGTGGCATTTCCGGATAGCTTTGTGGTTGTTGTTGTCTTAGCCAAGCCAGTCAAAATCGTAACCGTATTGCTGGTCGTTGTTTGGGTTGAGGTGGCATTGTCGGTAAACGTCGAGCCTGCGCCATTAGACAGAGTCGCTAGACCATCCGTTCGTTGCGTTGACTGGGTTTTGAACGACTGATAGGGACCGGTAGGCGTGGCGGCCTCGGTCAGGGTCACAGTTGAACTGGTCTTGGTTGTTCTGTCATCGCTGATAGTGTTTTGAGCGAGCGTTCCGGCAATGGCGAGCAACCACCATGCCCCTCGACGAAGAGCCATTGAATTATAAAACGGTGGTGAGATGTGACCTCTCCGAAGTCAACGCAGAAACGAATAGGTTAGGTTAGGTATTGGGCATAAACATACACACCAACACCAATACGAACGACGACAACATCAGCACAAGGAGGAAACAGGTGGAAGAGTATCTTCGATTGATGGACCCTAGCAGTAGAAAATGACTTCATACTGCTGGCCGGGCTGTCTATGCTAGTTGGGTTTATTTGGCACCGAAGGTCCCCTGATGACTCGCCGGTTATCTCTTGCCGGCGGCCTTGAATATCTCACTCAATAACCGGGTACTTGATGCTACCTGCGGTATACTTGTCGTTAGTGGGTGGCCCCTTGACGGCGATTACTTGAAAAAGGTCCCAGAATCTACCCAACCCGGAAAAGTTGTGCAAAGTCAGATTACACTTGCATTTCCATGTTGCTAGGTAATCAATAAGCTGATCGATGCAATACGGATTACAGTACATGGCCAGGGTGACACGCGTCAGCGACACTGTGGATTTTCAGCGGCTACTACCAAACTTTACGTCAAGTCGGCAACTAAAGCGCACCGCTAAGCGGTCTTTTAGTGGGCTTATCTCAGCCACTCCCATCTACCCCTGTCCGCGTATAAGTGCTAAAAACTATTCGGGGCGGTGCTGAAGGGGTTTTCTCCATCACATGTTATTCTGATCAGGGGTACTGAAATCAACTGAAATCAGGTAATGTTCGAACACCTTACCAAATGGATTAAGGCCCGGCGAGTTTGGTATAAGTAGTAGTATAAGTACGGTTAGGGAGCTCACGTTTTGTAAGTTGGTACTGCATGCGTGCACCTAAGTTAAGTAAGTTATAATGTATCCGGTAATGACGATTGTCGATGCAGCAGTAAGTACTCCATAATAGCCCAGACTACCGGTAGGTACCTCGAGGCCCACTTCAGCATCCATGTAAGGGCTTCAATGCTTCTGCCTTGAGAAAGAAAGTTTCGTCTACCTCAAGGGTACTTGTAATTAGGTTATAGTCCCTGGTCACCATGTCATCAATCTTTGCTACTTGCAGATCAGGGACTTGGCCCTCAAATGCTCCATCAACCTACCTCATCGGCAACCCACACTTGTTTCTTTTCTAAACGTCCAAGGCATGAGTAGTGACTGAGTTGCATCACATGGATAGCTGGCATAGAGCTGGATAGATTGCCCGATAATTTTCACGAAGAGCTTCGGAAATCGGATCCCAGGCTGCTTCCTTAATATTTACGGACTCAGACTGAATACTCTTCGGTTCTTTGCTCAGTATGGCATTGAGTTCTTCGCCTTCACTACGCAGACGTCAAGATGTACCCAACCAAGATGTACCCAACGACACAGAAGCCGAAAAAGAGCGTGGCAGCTCCGAGGACGCCGAGAGCAAAGCTATACTGAAGAGAGGGACCACAACACGACGCAATGCCATCTTCATATTAATCTTTCTCTACCTCGTCGCTATAGTGTTCCTAATCCTGGTAAGGGTCAACGACAGCTCATCGGGCGGCTTATGGGTTGCTTATTGATTTAACCGCAAATACAGGTCGAGATCGGGAACACGCGGAAAAATGGAGTCTTAGGAAGCATATACTTCTTCAAACTGGACCTAACCAATATACTTGTCCAGTCGGCCCCGACGTCGTTGTCACTGCAGAACTCAATCGCCCGGACTCTGGGACTGCATGATTTCTACCAAGTAGGCCTGTGGAATTTCTGCGAGGGATATCAGATGGAGTAGGTGACGGATCGTACCATGGCTAAGAGAAAGAGATAGGCTGACATGACGAAAGCGGGATTACCCATTGTTCGACACCAGACGCCTCTTTTTGGTTCAATCCAGTCGCGATCCTTCTCGACGAGCTCCTGTCAGGCGCGTCCATTGCCCTGCCTTCCGAGGTCAACGACATCCTGAACATTCTGCGCATTGCATCCCACATCATGTTCGGCTTTTTCCTGGGTGCTGCCATATTGAATGCGATCCTACTCGTCAGCTCCGTGATTGTGCTTTACTCGAGATGGTGGAGCCTCCCGCTTGGGATAGTATCCGGTATCTCTGCTGTGATTGCCATCGTCGCTGCTGGTCTTGGGACCGCAATCTCGTATATATTCCAAGCTGCGCTGAATTCTCAGCCAGACCTTGGCGTGAGCGCCTCGGTTGGAA